CAGTAAGCGAAATGGGTACCATAGGCCTACTACAAAAATATTTTTTTATATCATATTTTTTAATGTTTAAAATACACGTGCTTTATTCATTCATTATTTGCGTTGTTCTTATTGAATTAAATATGACAGCCATCTGTAATAACTAGGTCAGGGAATTGTCAGTAGGCGAAATGGGTACCATAGGCTTACTACAAAAAATATTTGTTTATATCATATTTTTTAATGTTTAAAACACACGTGCTTTATTGCATCGCTAAAAGAAATGATAATCATATTATTAATATCATCATCATTATTATTTTATTATTATTATTAATCACCATCATTACCATTATCCTTATCATACGTTAACTAATATTATCATTGTTTTATTATTATTATTATTATTATTATTATTATTATTATTATTAATATTATTATTATTATTATTTTTATAATAATAATAATAATAATTATTATTATTATTATTATTATTATTATTATTATTATTATAGAAAACTTTATTGTGAATTAATATTTTTAATAAATTATGTTTATGTTACTTTCATCTTTCTCCCCCACCCGCGCTTTATCAAAACATTTTCTTTTCAATTTCAAAAGCAGATTCCTAATAAATTAGTCTTGTAAAATTAGATCAAATATTTATTCATCCCACCTATTGCATAGCTTTTGTGCAGTATGACGCGTGAGTGTTAAATATCTACAATATAAAAGGGGTATAAAATAATTCAAAGACAACCCTTACGTCACAAACCAACAATAATACCAATAATAAATAAGTAAATATAAATGTAGAGTATTGTTAGTTAGGATATATTCTCTATCTGAGTAAAGAATAAAAAAACCCGTTAAAAGCAGCGTTGGTGCAGTTTATAAACGTAATGATATATAAAGCCTGGTCCGTGCTATCTAGGCCTCAAAGAAACGAGATATTTCGCTCATCGAATGACGTAGCCTGCCGTCAACAATAACGATTAAAACGAAAATCAATAACTAATGTAAAAGCCAACGTCCTCTGTGAAAAACCTTAGTACAATGGGAAATATTTAATGTGTTTGTATCGAAAGTGTATATGTTAAGTAACCTATATTGACAGTACATCTGTACTGAAAACATTATGAACCCTGCAAACAGTTTGCACTCACTCGGAGCCCATTATCGCTTCAGCTAGGCCACGTTCATGGAAGTTCACGTCGGCAGTTCATAAAGTGACTCGAGTGATAAAAGTTTATCAACGCATCATATATTTTTAATTTTCGGAATATTAAAATGGCCACTCGTTCTCACAAAAATGATACAGGCCTAATAAAGTAATATACTTTTCTTGTTGGAAGTAGGGCCTTGTGGTAGGCCTATACATTTAATTTGGATGTTTATGGATCTCGCAAAAAATAAGAACTGCGCAGTATAGGCCAATGTAAAATGTTTTTGTTTATTGTTTTAATATCAAAACATTTTAGTAATAGTTAAAACATTAGTAGGCTTGTGCAAGGCAGTAAGGCCTTGCTAACAAATAATAACACGTGACTGGTAATCGCGCAAAAAAATATATTAATAAAATAACAATCCAAAGAAAGTTCGGATATGATGGCTCCTATTATCGTTTTCTGCAATGGGTTACCTGTATTCGTTTTTTTCAATTATTATTTAAAATAAGCAGAAAATACCAAAAGTTAGTTAAATAACAATTTCAAAGTTAAATTTTGAATAAAATATAAATCATTGTTAAAGCAGAAAATCCACATTTAAAAAGAAAGAAGTTTGTTAGTCATTAATTCGAAATACACACCGTTAATGTGTCTCTCCCTAGGGTATCGTACTCGTACTCCATATCCAAATGGCCAATGACCTGTGCACAAGTTATAGGTAACATGATAAAATCTAAAGAGTATTGTGACCAATAAAAACTGCACATTGACAATATTCTTTTAACTGGAGACAAGAAATTAGAATACAGACAATAAAGTAGATATTAAACTTAGGAAGAAAATAAATCATTAGTAAAGTTCAGTAAGACACGTTGTGTACAGCGGTCTTGGGCCTGTTACTCTTCACTTGTGTCAAAGCGTGAAAATTATGTCATCAGAAATCTAGGAGGTTATGATCAGACTATGTTGCGAGAACAGATGACAAGCAATCAAACACATCATCATCTCTGGCCACGGATACGGTACTAGAGATAAAAAAAAAGTGTAAAGGCCCTCTATAGTTTGTGAGTGCCTGTGAGTTTTCTGGGGGAAGGTATTGTCTAGTACCTTTAGTATGGGAGTTTCCGAAGTTTTTCTATGATTGCTCAACAATGATCACGGGATTTTGATTTTTCTATAGAAACCATTTCTATCCATTTTAAAGCCAGGCTCTTGAAACATCGATGTTGTACAACTGATTTTTTTAAGGCACAAGAAGGAACACAATCGGGAACGGGTCATGAGATAGATTTTTGAATATTTAAAAACTGGGGGTAGGAAGTGAAAATGGGGTGGTTACGCCCCTCCCCCAGTTTTTAAATATTGAAAAAATCTGTAAGCCTATCTCATTAACTTTTCCGAGTTTCTCGTCAAATCAAACACCCTATAGTGTCAGAAAAATCAGTTGTACAAAATATCATTTTTCTCTCTAGAGCCTGGCTTTAGAAGTTGTAGTCGAGAGAGGGAGAGAGAGAGCTTCGATTAAGATGTTTCGAATGTGGTCCAGGGGAGAAGCCCCCGAAAATTTTAACAATTTAGGGGTTTCAATGGCTTATTTAATCATTTTAGAGTCTACTAATATATAGAAAATACATATAATTTTTTTTTCTCCCCGATGAATTGTGCTGTTTCTCCCCTGTTTTCTGGACGAGCGAGGCCGAACCTTTGCTGATTATTATTTATAGAGTTAATATAACACTTTGTTTTTAATAAACCAAAAGGGGCTATTTGGAGAAATAATGTGCATTATTACAGTATAGACCTCTATGTGTTGCGCAGGGCCAAACTTTTGAAGTATTGTGTATTTACAGCATAATGCATCAACGTATAAGTGATAAACTGCATATAATATGCAATAACTTGAGGGAAGTAAGTATCCAGACCAGGAAAATCTACGAGACTACCTAGCTTTCATGGTAGACAAACAGTATCGGAAGATTTTGGTTTCGAATAATATTGGGGACAAATATTTTCTCAAAAATTATTTATTAAGTCTGCCTATACTATGATGATCTGATGATCTGTTTTTTTTTTTGTTTTTTTTTTTTTTAATGAAGTAGTATACTGTAGCTAAAACTTCGATAACAATGGAGTGAAACTTAAAACTTGTTAAGAGATTGTGGTCAATTTTAAGCATTTTTCTTATATTATGCAGTGGCCTCATATAATACACGGTTACAGTATTTCTTGTAACATTATAATATGCCCTGTAATTTTAAATCTGTGCTTAAGTATATTGAACTTATCATAAGGTTCAACAACTTTTAAGATTTGCTCATTAACAGCCAGTAAGTCATGACTTTGCTAGGTTAAGCCAATTCCCTAGCGAGGGCGAGATTAGCCAAACAATACTTTGAATATTGAACACTTGTAGCACCTGCCTATATTCTCATCATCTTTAATGTCACCCATGCATGTTATTATGCCATCCGAACATTATTACATTTCATTCTGAAATGCAATATTGTCCTTCGATAAGCAATTGGATCAGCAGCGAAAGGGATATCAATCAATCATGGCTTGAAGTTTGATTCGTTGAGATAAAGAGGTATAAATATTAATTAGTGTGGTAATGGCTAAGTAGTAGATTCATCTTTCTCTTCTTTCAACAACTTTGTCATTGGAAGCATCGTCATTATCCTCATCATTATCTTCGACATTCGCACTTTCTCTTTATGTTCGTCTTTTTTCTCATCTTTTAAAAGGTTGTTCTCTGTAAACGAAAAACTAATTTTCTCCAGTCTTAATAACTAAATCATGCTCACATTTAAGTTTTAAGATACGCCAGTTGTTAGATAAATAAATAAACTAATTAGACCTGTCTGTTAAATTACAGTGAGTTTTCCAACATAAATCGTCACCTCTGTTTCACAACCAGTAATAAGATCTCCTCTTTTATCATCACATTACTATGTGATGAATAAATTCTAAGCGAATCATGAATTATCTTCTTATTAAATCGACAGCAAAGGATGCTTCTTAAAAATGGTGCTCTATGTTTCATGTACGCAACCAATTTATGATTAACGTTTTTCGGTAGTGGAATACTGTTGTTAATTGCAGCTGCCGCCAACAGTCTGATGATATTCTGGAGGACCTGTCAAATAAGCAAACGTTTGCCGCATGCAAACGGTATCCTATGATGAATATCAAAAGTTAATAGTGCATCAGAGTTTGTAATCCTAGGTAAAGTCTTTCCAAAGAGATTGAAAACATCCAAATTAAAATAGCACGATGTCTTTAGTGTATGCAGAAGAAAACATACTTGGGACAGATTGAGAGAACTGACTTAATTTCAGAGGGACAAACTTCACAGCCCTTGCAGGGGAGAGATATCTGGAGACCACCACATGAAATGGACAGTTGGTAAGATTAGGAGATTATAGTATATCTCAATACCGAAATTTCAGCCTTGCGCTGCAGCCATTTGTAAGCTTTGGCTTATCAAGTGGTGGTGAAGATTTGAAAATATACCAGCATCTCACAGAATAAGAAACTTAAAATAACGCCAAAAAATCATACGCCTGAAATTATATATTTAAAAGGTGAAAGTTTATTTTAAAGGTGTTATTTCTGAAGGTTTGGTGGTAACTTGTTGCTTGCATTTTTATGGTCAAAGGAATACATTACTTTCGTTTCTTTTGAAAGACAATTTGATGTATGGGAGCACTGATGTCGAGACCCACACACTGTGTCTAAAGTCAGTGCACAAAAGCGAACAGTTTTGCAGTTCCCCGAGTAGACTTTCTTGTAGCAAAAAAAAAAAAAATTAAAATTAACAAAGTTATCAACAATTTACAAACCAAAACAAACTTTATGTTTTCGTTTTTATACCTTTTTTATTTTTTGCAACATGTTCACACAATGAATTAACTGCTAATTTTGAATACTATCATCAAAGCTACCGAAATTCTCACAATACAGACACATACTTTACTGACATTCTCTTTGCACATAAAACATTTTTATGAGGTACTTTTGTTAAGCTGTGGGCTGGCAACTAACCTACAGAACAAAAATTGGATAAAGTATATATGAAGCACTAAGAAGAGATGGATGCTTCCCCCTTCTTTCATAGGCTTCTGAAACTTACCACTGAATTTAGCAAAAAAAATCCATTTTATCAACTTTACTGTTTCTTTGTAGTTATATTTTCCCTTAAAATGGTACATCAATATTTTCTATTGATTTATCAACACAATAAATAAACCAAATGTAACAGATTATATTACAGTTATATATAAAAACGACATTAAATATAATTTAATTTTCCAATTATGCAATACTGTACAGTACTTTGGAGAAAAAAATACTGTCTTATCTATATGGAAAAAACCTCGACATGAGCATTCTGGATTGGTGTAGTCGTTGCTCCAGTATTGAAAAGGTAATCAAAGAGTCTCAAATTCAAAACCAGACAATTTTTTACTCATAAAGAAGTACTCATCAACATTCTATATCTAATACTGTATTTGAATCCAAAATCACCCCCACCCCCAACATCTCCAATAATCAACCTGGCTTCCTGTTGTTCTTTTACATGATGCAACAGTTAAGTAGGACACGATCAACTTTTGATTTAACTTTTTACTAAATTTCAACATGGGCTTACAAATGCCAGTGCCCTGGTTATGGTACCCACTTGAACAATGCGCGAATTAGTTAGGAGTGCCATTCGGATTTCTATTTCTTTCCTGCTACAGAGGTGAATTAACTTCTGAAAAGTACAGCTAACAAAGGGAACCAATGAAGCATACTTAACAGTTAAGCTTACTAGCTTTACCATTTCCTATATAGTATCCCAAACAGTGGAGGAAAAAATATATAGGGCATATAGACTATTGGAAAACCAGTACTGTAACCACATGGAAAAAAGTTCATACCATGTAATAGGCAACCTTCACCTTTTGCGATCAATTACCTCACTGAAAAGCATATACTGTATAATCTACCAACTGCTAATGATTTGGTTTGCAATGAAGTTAAAAAAAAAAAGGACCATATCCTAGATCTGTGTATACCTCCATGATCTGTGGTAGAACTGAAGAGCCTTATGAAAGTCAAGAGTTATGTAATTACAAGCTTCGTATTGACATTGAAAGTACAGCGATCTACAAGCATGATACTCAGAGAGAGCTATTCACAGAACTACCAATAACCAGGGTTTATAGTTCAGTTCAGAATCCTTTCAAAAGTTAATGTTTAAACAGTTATGGTCATATATACGCGACAGACAAAGTCTCCAAATTTGCCTTTGCAACCATAAGCAAATAATAATTTGGATTAGTCAGGAAGTTTATAGGACTACATAAAATATATATATATATAAATGTTATCGTAATAAAATCTGTTACATGAGCATTCTTTGTCTCTTATGAATAGTTTAATATTTGAAGTATGCATGATATTAGGACAGAGGTGAACCTGGTAACGCAATTGACCTGGAAAAACTTTATTTAAGAATCTGTAGTTTTTGTTTGTTTTGGGACAATAACTCAGAGTGCATTAGCTTAAAACCTCAAGTGTCAAGTCTTCATCAACTTTAACAAAATACAAAGGAAATAAAAATAAAACAATACTTAACTCAGAAAAGACAGGGATATTACTTGACAAAGTATCCCCCAGTCAACATATAAATGTGCAACAGAATAAATATGGTACCATGAAACGAGTATAGATAAATAAATTACAGAAGCAAGATCAATGATACACAGATACCATAGTAATACAATTATGAAAATACCATACCTTACGAAAATAAACAACAATAACATAACAAGATAATGTTATTAAATACTAAAAATTTATACTCTGGTGCAACATTAATATGTACAGGTAATTTTTGAAAATGTGCTCTGTATAATTTCTAGACAATCTGATACACAAACATAATCACTAATCATTGTCTCAACATACAGTAAATATCACACCCATTAAATTCCTATACATAAAGTCAGACTGATCTCTTGCACATTCTTTCATGTTTAAATAAATGAAAACAAATGTTTCTAGGTTTTATGAAAAGAGAATGAGGATGATCCCTGTATTTTCTATTCATGAAGATGGCCACCATATAATCATAATCTAGACCTTGAAAGGCACACGTAGGCCTATCTATACACTATACTCTTGACTTTAAAAGTATTATGTGATTTTTGTTTGATTTTCTGGGTCTTTGGAATTGTGGAAAATAAAATAGGAGCCAGACCTCAAACAAGTTTTAGGAAAACATGAGAAACACTGTTTTTAAAGTTTGGCCTTAAGGCATTTACGTTAAACTCACATCACCGCTACATTTCTTTATCAGCTGCAACAGTTCTGTTTAGAATCATCTCAATTTCAACCCAGATGTCTGTAGCAATAGTAACTATCCCCAATTCTGTTAAAGTAAAGATTTATCATCTATACTAAATTAACATTAATTAATAGTAATAAATAAATATGTACTCATAAAAATAAGAGAACTCAAATAGTATTCAATAGCCATAATTTTATGACAGTCAAAGATTATTTCAACAGAATTAATGACAGAAACAAAACATGTTAGCGACTGTCTCTGACTTTTTACATATTTTGTTGGTGCAAGCAGCTCAGCCTAGGAGCTACACTCTTCATTGGCTCATTTAGATATAGTCTGAGGCCAAAAGACAGTCCTACAAAATGTTAAGGTTAGACATTAAATATCCACTGTACAATAATCAGCAGCTGCAGTATGTATAATATTTTTTATAAAGCTTGCTGTTTTTAATTAGCTGCTTTTGTCTTAAAACTTATGAATTACAAATGGTGGGGACAATATGGGGGAGGATAATCAGCAATTTTTTGTTCATAAAAATATCAGCTGTTTTTTTAGTCTTTGGATGTTAATCCAAAAAAAGTTGCTAAACACAGTTGCATGATATAATAGCTATCAGATTATTTAAGCTGCATATTGGATCAGACTCATTGAAACCATTAGCTGCTTGTCTCCTTAAATTACTATCAAACCCATTCAATACCAACAGAAAAAATAGTGTAAACAAAAAGAGATTTTCTAATATAAGAATGGAAAATATAATCAAGCTTCTAACAAACATATACTGTAGTTATCTATGAAAAAGTATGACATACTTTAACATCACATGGATTTACTTTTTAAATATTATATTTTACAGAACATATTTATTAATATTTGTTTTTATCCTTCCATATCAGTATGAAATGATCAGAAATATGGATTAATTCCTATTATTTCTTCATGTTTAGACTGACGAGAAATCAGTTGCTTAGTTTTACACACATAGTTTCATCTCATAACAATTAATAATTATATACAATCACTTGCTTATGAGATTTTGTAATACTTTGTATACAAATTACACAAATTATCAACAGAAACACTGTTTCCAATTTTTCCCATGGCTTGAATGGTAAAATAATCAATTGGTATACTTTATTTACATAAAAGGATCTCAATTGATAATAAAAACCAACTGACACAAAGATAACAATTAAAAAAAAAAGAACTAAACAAGGTAATACTAATTTTTTTTTTGTAATTACATAAACACATTTTAAATTTTCAATAACATGTAACTTCTAACATTAATCTTTTTGGTAAAGCTATCATCGATAAAAAAAAAAAAAAAAAAAAAAAGGAAAACAAAACCAGTTTCAACTCTATAAATATTTTCATATCTTATTTGGGAGGGGTGACATTGGAGGTTTCTTTAAGGACATTTACTAAAGAATCACCATACCAGCTTCTGTATACATAATAAAAATTACAGTAACATCAGTTTTAGAAGACATACAAAACTCTTTAAATACCATGCCTAAAATATTTCCATCATCATTATGAAATTATCATGTTAACAATATCTTTGGAATATTGGTATATATATGTTCATGTAATTTTAACCCAGCTCACAAACTGCAACACAAGTACACTTGTAAGTATAGTTGTAGTTGGCAGCCCATGTGCGAGACCTTTCCAAATTGTGGAAATATTCATTAGTCATGACTTAGCTATGCCCTCATTGATTAGACCACCATTCCATGTTTTGACCCAGCCCCACCCTATTTAGTTTGCCTAGTGCCTTTTAAGACTTAGAAAGCTTGTAGAACTTGACTATGTTCTAAGATTATTACACTTCAAGGAGGTAGCCAGAACCTCTAAGTATTGGCTTCACCCTGTAAGCTGTGACAATGTTTCAAGACTTAGACAGACACTTCAAGACTAAACACCCTAAGACTCGGCTATGCCCTCATGCTCCAAGACTTGGCAGCACTCTTTAAGACTTCGCCATTGCCATTGCATTCAAAAGGTAAGGCATATAAATAAGTTTACTGTGTAACAACATTTTTGAGCAACTCCGCAACTCAGGCAACAAGCTCATCATATCGTCGAACCGATTCTCTTGATAATTGACTCGTGTGTAGTCTTCGAGCGCTAGAATGTACGGAGTCTGAACAGATTGCACGCTTTCTTCCTTGTTTGAAGAATCTGAAAGAAACAAAAAAAAAATAATACATCAAACATGTAACAATCACTGGTGATTTTTGTTCATAAATTTGGTAAAATTATAATTTGAATGAAAAGGAAATGAAATGTTTAAGATGAAATAAAATGAAGTAAATTACCATTTTAAGTATGTTAAATATAATCATCTGTAAAGTATGTTTTTACACACATTCTTTTACCTCAATGGTAAACTACCAACTGATGATCTACATATGTACAGTACAAATAATAATAGGTTTTTAAACTGTATAAAAAAAGAATCAACCCAAGTAAGAAGAATAATATCTATTAGTTTATTATATTTTTCTACTAAACTTTTATGTTCAGTATTTAACCAAGTCCATTATTTATAAATTTCTCTTCAACATTTGTGTCCATAAAAAGTATAATTATTATCCAACAGAAATTGATAAGATTGTCTTCCAAAAAGTAATAACTTCAAAGTTAAATCAGCATTATGTTAAGAAAAACAAGAATATTTGAAATTATAAAAATTTTAACAGTGGATAGGTGAATGAATTTGAATTTTGATGACTCATATATGGTGAACCTTCACGTACGTAAAACCGGTAATATTTTTATCTCTCATTGAAATCATCTGCTGCGTTACCCCATCTTTGTAATGTTTTAACTGCGAGAGAGTTCAAAATTGTAATTCATTCTATAGACAAAGCCTTTGATGATTCAGTCTTTAGACAAATTTACAAGTTTAAATTTCTCCGAAACAATCTGTGGGAACATCTGGGGAAAAAGCCATCTCCCTTGAGGGACACTAATCCATTTCAACAAAACTTCAATTTTGACTACTAAAATAATGCAGCAAGTAATTATCACCAGTTAAACTTCATAATTGCCAATTGATTAACTTGATAAACAGGGATTGTAGCTTGTGAGGGATTAAGGAACTTTATTTTACCTTGGTGTAACAGGATAATTACTTTAAGTAACAGGTATTCATTGCGTGTTATGCTTATTGTCCTGAATGCGGCAGCAAGTTTTGTTAATTTCTCGACCACTTCACCCATTTCCTGTTGGAAGTTCTCCATGTCCAGTTTCAAGTCTAGTGTTTTGTTCATGTACTCTTGCAGTCTTATCAGATTTGTGTGAACGCAGTACTCAAAGCTTAGACCCTTTTCTGCGTCGCTATTTTGTTTAAAATACATTGCACGTGTTGCAGTACACATAAGTAAAAGTTCCTGCCATTTGGTTTTCAGCATGTATGTGTGTTCCATTGCAGACAGTTGCGTGTAAAAAGGGAGATGTTTAACCCATTGTACCAGTTGATACACAAGATCCTCCCCAAGAGTACACAGAAGATTTGCGAAACCCTTGTCATTAAAGTTACTTAATGCTGTACTTGGTTGATCTTTGTTTGACAGTTTTGAAAGAGCGGATTCTGTTTGCTGCAAGACCTCAATAAGTTGTGCAGTCTGCGGCCTCAATTGGCGCAGCTCAGCGGTGGATTTGTTAGATGGTTGATGGCTTGTTGAATGTTTTGATTTACTGGCATCGCGTTCAGCTTTGATGGCTTCACGCGCAGCTTTGAAGGCTTGCTTCTGTGCACGGTTCTTCCGATTTAACTGCGCTTTCTGTTGAGCCATCAGCTGAAACTTCTTTCGCAGTTTGTCATAATTCTTTGGTTTACTCTATGAAAGGTAAAGAAATGGAATGAAATATAAATTCATTTTTTACTTCACCAAAATTTTGAGGAAAATTAACAACAAATTCCCAATAATTTTGCATTATGTTCTTTATCCTCATAATTTTATTATTATCTTCAAATCCCTCTTTAAGCACAATAGCTAGCGCCATCAAATAATATTTCAAACACAGAACTTTTATTATTTAATTATGTGTAATCAAAAATTTATTTAGTTACAAATATACCTTATAGGATAGACCAGTATTTCTTCCACCAGGCATACGGTCTTCTCTCACAGCTGTAATAAAAACAGACAAAATCATGAAATGTGAAATTTGTACATTTACCGGTACTTGAGTTCATTATAATAAATAAGAAAACACCAAGTAAAATAAAATAAAGAAACTATTACATATTACACAGTTTTACAATAATAATTAATACAGCATTTGTAAATCCGGCAGGCTACACTCGCTTAAATGTAAAACAAACAGATGCAGCAAATTCCTTTGTTTATAATTCAGTACACAGTACTCTGCATTAATTTAAATATCGAAGGACTTTGTAATTGCAATGTCAAGTGATCTGTATTAATTACATGAAAATTAGCAGTAACCATATTTTATCAAAAACACAACTTTTTTGTGGACCGCATTTTATATATAGTTCAATGTATATGTTGTGTCTTCAAATTAGTTTTAACTGTTCTTTGTTTAAATAATAATAGAATATGTTGCTTAAAATATCAACATTTACTACATTTATTATATTTTGTATTAAAAATGGCTTCAAATTGCTTGTGATTTATTTCACATATTTTGGGCTCCTGATTTATCTTTGCTGTAACTATTAAATATGGATTTTTTTAAATATTCAAATCGGTCTGGTTGTTGTCTGGGGTTCAGTCAGTAAAGTGGTCTTATAAAATAAATTTTCAAATGGTCAGCTGCACCTCAAAGGGTGGAAGATCAGCATGCTGACCTTAACCTGATGGCACTGTCTGCTACCCACTTCCTTTTTGGTTTGCTTCCTTTTTTGGGTTGCTTCCTACTTCATCGGTTTTCACTTCATGATTTTATTGGCGCATAGGTAATTGCATCTTATACTTTAATTGATTGATGTCAACAATGCCTCCTTATTGTCATAGTATTGTAAATGTTAATGTACAGAAAAAAAAAATTATACAAGATTTTTCAAAAACTCCATGTTAAACCAATCACAAAGTAATTTCTATCAACTTTAACTAAATTATTCTTTTTAAAATTGTAATAATTTTGAAAAAGATACAACAGTAAAATAAATAATTACATACTGGTAATTATACCATTTGATACTTAAATAACCTAAAAATGGTAATTTTTTAAGTTTAATCTTTTTTGTCATACATTATGTTAGTGTCCTTGTGCCACCTGTCACTGGACAATGCATACAAAAAAAATAAATTACATATTCCACTTTAATAACATAGTTTTCTTGTAAATTCTAGTGTCCTTGGGCTAGCTGACACTGGACAGTGCATACATTAACATCAAAGGAGGTAATCAGACCAAGATCAAACCAGGGTCACCCCTGGCTAAGTGACCAATGAATGAATGAATAAATATACCAATGAGTAGTACATTTCTCAATACAACAATGATAGCTGGAGCACAAGGATGCATTCATACAAATTCTCTGCATTAATTATTCAAGGATGGAGGTAGTTCTAATCAAACAAAGAAGACTGACAATGAATGGCAGGGATGAAACATGATGGTATATTTGTTTATCTACCAATAAAGATACACTGACTGCCAAAAAATAAGGGAAATCTCAAAATTAAATTAGAAGTTTTTTGCTTATTTAAAGTATTTTACTACAAAAATCCTTAAATTGCCAGGAAATGTAAGGGTGTATACAAAAGAATACTGGAAAAGTATTACTTAAATATCTGTTCTTATCATAGAAACTTGTTCTCATTCAGTTAATAACTAACTTATACAAATTAACAACCTCACTACAGAATTTTTATTATTTTAGGCTCTGTGAATACAGTGCGAGTCTGAAATATTAATAGAATTACCTTAAAAATGATTATTACCTAACCTACTTGGAAAAGTGACAAGAGATTTCGGTTTATCAGTCCAATGTTATGCCAGTGTACTAAATTAGAATGAAGGCATGCATGTGATAAAACTGCATTGAAAATTATTATCTAAACATGTTATTTATTTCAACGTCCCTTTCAACAACTATAAATTGGAATTATGACAAGTGATGCATGTGGGTAATTACTACAGCAAACGGCCACATAATGCAAAACTATATATATATATATATATATATATAAATTTAAAAAGGCAAATGGGAAAAACCCATAAAACAGCGATCGGCCACATAATGCAAAAGCAATTTAAAATTAAAACAAAAAACGGAACAGTAGAGAAAATCCGATCAGAATGACAAAATAAACTAAGCATCCACTGGAAGGAATCCCAATATCTGCAGACGGATCCGTTTCGGCCTTCCCAGGCCTCATCAGTGCAGCTAGGGTACAGACCCAAACAAAACGTTCGACCAGCTTAGGTATGGCCCAAACTAGTCCCACGACCACTAATGATTACAGAGCCAAACCAAGGCTATATATATAAAATCATATGTCATAAGGCCCAAACAAAAAATGATCACGGTATTTTATCACCCTTGCCCGCATGTCTTCTATGGTATTAAAAAAAAAAAAATCAAATTTGGTAATTTATATGGTGGGATTTTTGTTTTTTTTTTGCATTTTTTAGTAAATAGTAGAAATTATTTGTATCAATCATGTATTTTACTTTGAATATCAATGCACCAGCAAACAACAAGGGAGATATTTGGCTTTAGCAAAACACAAAATAAAAAGCCTTCCTCCATCATCAGTTTTCCAGCCTAGATAGGGGGATAAACTATTAATTTGTTTATAGGGCCAAATATCAGACTATACAGAAAGAAATTAATAAAAGATTTTCATATTTTTATTTTTATAATTTATAACTACTTTTATATTTTTAATTTTGAATTAAACATACTTCAATCAATCGCATACTCCTGAATTATATTTGTATTAATGAACAGTGATGAGAGTTAAAAGACATTGTAGACACAAAGACTTGCAGTATGATATTGATTATGATAATGATTAAATTTGAGTTGAGATTATTATGCAAGTTGAACACCAAAATATCCACTGACTAATTGTAAATACAAGAAAATGAATTGTTGCTCTGAAAAATGACAACTGTGAGACTAGAGCATAACTGATTTTATGTTTTATTCTTTATTAGAATGTTGTCAAGATGTTCTAATAAACAACAAAATTGAGAATCAATTATGGCCTCACTCCTGCCACTTACTGACGTATTTCATATTTGTCGATGAAAAAATGTCAAAGTAGTTGATTATTTCTTGTGATTACCTGTTAATTGTGAGTGTGTACCATTCTGTGTGCTGTCACCATTGAAAAGGTGAAATATAATAAAATTATTATCACTATTACTGTGAGACGTCTTCCCATATATGGCCTACTTAATTTTTCGAAACGTATGTTACTCTATTTTAACTGTAGACTGCAGAACATCTATTTATTATCTTAAAATAAAGTGCAATGCTATATAGTAATTAGGTAAACAGTAACACTGTAACCAAGTCATCAGTCCAGAAAAGTAGTCTCAATTTTGTTTTTGTTTTCTATAGAAAAAGATGAGAAAGGATTAAGAATCGTTTTATAAATTTGGACTTATTGACAGTACAGGTTTATGTCACTGATGTATTCCAGAGTTCAATAACTGACTGAAGGCCTAGAAGATTACCTTAATTTTCAATTATTTAGATCAGTGTTAGTAAGTCATCTCTTTCTTTCATATTTGATCCCTTTCTAATACCACCTAATAGTATTTATGTACAATACATAATCATAAGACCTCTAACAAACAAAAAAGAAAGAAAAACCAGGTAAACATTCGGCAAACAGTTGCATAACATTCAATTCAACAAGAGTGAATGCCCAGTGCAGTATGTGACCTTCTCAGTGGACGATCACCCTTCTTCATACAATGATAACATAGCATTTCTTTAGCACATCATATGGTTATACAATAGGCCAGAAAATGTTAGCAGCCTTGTAAGTCTGGTCAAGCCAATACATATCCTTGACAACATGGCTTCTGATCAGCTGGAGGCCTTGGATATAGCTCAGTGGACAAACACATTGTCAGATGGTGATCTGTGGTCAGTGACATGATTGGTCACTTTCTAGGCTTTTAGCTTGGACAGGTATTTCCCCATATATGCATGTTGAAAATGATCTCTATCCATCTTTTGATTAACAGTATTAAACACAAAGTTGGTTTTTAAATAATATACATTACTGTACATAAGCTATAACATAGATGTTAAAATATTGGTTTTAAAAAAATGGAAACGCACTTCACTCTAAAGCATGGCTACTGTACATTACCGCACTATTGCAGAATATTCCAGGCAATATTGTGGTTACACAGCATTTAATTTCTGACTTAATTATATTACCGCAATATTTCTGTTAGTTTGTTTACCACTATATTTGAATTGATTGATAGAGTATAATATTTTGGATGTGCAATCATAGCGTTCAAATCATAATCAATTAAATTAAATTCATTTGCATATTGTTGACTAATTACTCACCACAGCTGGACATACCATAAGCACACATCCTACACAACATTAATGAGGTGATGGCTTAAAAGTGTATTGTCCACTAGTGGCCTTACTATGTCTTACTAATATTTGATAAATATTGTAAAAAATATATTCAAATAGCATGGAATTTGAGACTCAATATATATAAAATTGTTACCTAAGGAAGTTCAAATTACCTAAATACCACCTCTATTCAATATAATTTTTTTTTTTTTTTTTTTTTTTTTTTTTTTTTTTTTTTTTTTTTTTTTTTTTCTTTTTTTTTTTTTTTTTTTTTTTTTCTCTTTTATTTTTTTTTTTTATACATGTGATGACATAGTACTTAGATTAAGTTTTAGTCAAGTTGTTTGACTTTTTTACTTTTCTTTAATTAAGTTTTTTCTTAAATTTACTGTTACCTTCTCTTTTTTGGATGCACCACCATTTTGGATGTGTGCCACTGTAATGAAAGTGATTCCAAATAAAAACTAAAACTAAAACTATGTCTGGTTTTATGAACTGACCATGAGATTGTTGGTGTGGTTTGCATATTAGTGTCTGTGGTTAAGTGAAATAGAGACAAACCATGGACAAACTAAGGTCAAAGGACACCATCCCAAA